TATTTTTTTAAAAGGTAGGACAGAAAATGACTTCTATACTTTTAAAATTTTCCCAAAATTTAGGAGGTCTTTAGACCGAGCCAACTATATTAATATAGTTAAATATCCGTTATACCGAGACTCACTGTATCGCTGATCAAATCCTTTTCTGGTTAGTATGTTTAGTTCTTTTTAGATAAAAAAGAATCAAATATTATTTACAGAATTAATATTACTATTACTGTTCTTCCCATAAAGTCGAAAAAATTCCCACATCCACACCATCATGTGGAATAATTTAACTGCCAATAGTTGTAGTTGTAAATTCAGTGCACGTAAAAAGCTTTCGGAATGAATTATGTAACGAAAAAAGGTCAACAGCACATGAAAATTTATAGATATATTCTCTATAATTTGATAATAAGTTTACTTAAAGCTGCATAGTGGCTTATATTATTACCTTTTTTCTCAATTACTTTACTTAACTTTGACGGTATACAACGTATTAACAAAAAATTCCCGTAGATCCCCTGAATTATTCTGCAGCATCTTTTTTTTTTCATTGATTTGCTTTTCAACACGTCCCTTTAAAATTTGCCACAAATTCCCAATTAGATTGAGATCTGGATTATTTGATAGCCAATTCAAAATTTTTGGACAGCGTTGTGCAAGGGTCATTATCATGTTGAAAGATCCGACGGTTCACATGACATTGTTTGCATTGTCAAATAGATTTTCAGTCAAAATCTTTCAATATAAAACACCATCCATAATATCAGTAAAAAGAAAGAATCCAATTTTACCTTTTACAAAAAAGGCGCCCCAGGCATGAATTATGTTTTACCATAGCCTTGTGTAGAGGTTGACTGCCAGGTTTATAAAATACTTTTTGAGTATTACTAAACATTTGTAATGTAGTTTCATCGGAAAAAATGACTTTATTCCAATTTTGTCTCTTGTATTTTATGACAAGTTCTATACGACATTATTTGTGTTGATTGGTAAGAAGAGACACAGATTTTGAAATGGTGGAACGATATTGCAGTCTATAAAGTTCATTAAATACTGTATGATTACTGATATGAAAGTTTTCTGGATCTGCCAGAACTTGCTTAAGGTCTAAAGAAATCCTATTACTAAGTTTTTTAGTATAATCATATAATGTAGAAAATGGAATAGAAGTTAATTTGTGCAAAGTATAGGCATCACAAGTGTCGTTTTTCCATAAAGTAGTTACGGTTTACGACGTTGATCAATTGAAGGTTTTGTTTTAAGAAAACGCAAAAATTTTGCAAATCAAAACAAGTCACGAGTCATGTACTCGAAAAATGATATTTTATTATATACCATGAGAATGATTTTTGATTAGACACATATTTGAAACAACAACTTATTGATTTATTTCTTTGTCACTCCCTTAAAGTGTAGAAATTCTAATCGTCACACTTATTTTCTGCATGTGACGAAAAGAAAACATTTCTTCTGGTGGTGTTTGGTCACCCAACCTTAATCTCGGTGCAAATCAGGTTAACTAATTTTGCATTAAAATAAGACCTTATGTTAGGTTAATTAATTTTATCATAAAATAAACAATTTATTTATTCATTAATATTTAATGCCTTCATAGTTTTGATTTTTGATTTGATGGTAATGTTAACAATGATAAAGATGTTTATTAGAATATTTATGAAGATATTTCTTGCGATGCAAAAATTTCTAATCAGTCAAAATAACTTTTTAAATTTCAACTATTGGAATTATGTGATCTAATGTTGGATTTAAAATGTAAAAAAATATCTCTTTTCTATTGAACGATCCCGATAATATTCTGACAAGTAATTTCTCTATTGCCTTGATTTACAATACTTGACATTTCACAATAGTACCCTCTTGTTTAAATACTTCCAAGCAATATTCCATTTCCTCCTTGTAAAATATTTTTAAACTAACATTTAATGATGACAGATTTGGTTGACTACAAATATAATAGTCGGTGATAGATAGTTCGTGGCCGGCGAGCAAAATTTTTTTAAATTACATACATGTGCGCTCACGGGAATTATGCACACTACGCGCAAGTTTGCATATTACTAATCATGATACATTAATTCTGGATTAATATCTGCTGCATATTTGTTTATGTTAACGACGAAAATAGAAGTTTTTCATGAATGACCACTAGGCGTCAATTTTCCCAATTAAGGATTGTAGTACAATGTGTAATGATGTTTTATTTAATCGTGACTCATTTACTCGCTCATTGATTGTTTGATTTATTGTTTGATTGATCCATTCATAGAGAGAAAGGAAGAGAGTTTCTTTAATATGATATATACGCCTTGATTTGGTATTTCACATAAATTTAAAATTGACAACGAAATCAAACCGTGATAAAAATATCTCTTTTTTTTTTCATTTTCTATTTGCATATTGTAAAGAAATTTTAATGTTTAATAGTATGAATCTAACGTTTTGTTATTATTGTTATTGTGATTGACGGATAAAAGAAATACAATAATAAATTAGGAATAGTGAAAGAGGAATATTAGCCAAAAATAACGAGCAATTAAATATTACTAAAATAGTTTTGGAGCATTTTAGTTGTTGCAATTGTAAAATGTTGTTTGCTAAAACCAGCGCCTAAAGTTAAACTATATATAGTCTTTTGATATATACATAATAGATTATAGACCTTTGTTTCATTATTTTTATTATTAAAATGACTAAAGTTCAACTTCCATTTCAAATTTATTTTCAAACATCATCTCAAGCCAATACATATCCTGAACGATATATATGTCATCTAATACAAATCAGCAGGATCGAAATGAAAAGCATAAGCCATAAGCTGGAGGTCGACCTAGAGAACAAATTTGGAGTCATAATAAAACTAATGATCCTGATACACTCGAATATCTGGATACAGCTTACAACATTGTCCAAAGCGGATGCCCTGAGAAATGGAAACACATCTTGCTAATATCTGTTATGGAAATAAATTCTTTTAACTGAAAATGTTTAATCTGGAAAAATTTTGACACTACGTAAAGACTCAAAAGATAGCACCCCTTTTTGCAACAAATGATTTTCGATTGTACTAGTACTATCTTTTGGGAGTGCTATTTTTCGAAGTTTTACGGTATGTATTAAATGACATATTAACGCAAATTAAATAAATCCAAATTAAATTTGAACCTAAAATTTTCTTTTTTTAGTTTAATTTAACATCATCTTTTGTCATTCTGTCATTCATCGTCATCTTCTTTCGCTTATCATTGAACAATTCGGAATAACAAATTATTGAATCTGAATGGAATAATTGGTATGATCATATTATTGTTGTTGTTATTGTTATTGTTATCATCATCACCATATTATTATTATATTATTATTTACTTTATCTCTGTTGTAGATGAATAAAATAGCAAATAAAAATAGATAATGCTGCTTTTTATTTTTATTTTTTCATAAATAATTCTATTTTTAGCTACTACATTATTTTCAATTAATAATGAATTAGTTGATAATTTAAAATGCAAATAAAATGTATATTAATACGAGTACACTAGCGCCAGGAAAATAAATATTACGTAAACATAGGGCTCAAAATTGGCCAGTTTTATGTCGAGATTTTGGTAATTCTGGTAACACTTCCACATAATGCCGGTTGATTTTGAACCCGACGTAGGTTTATGTAAGATTTATTTCTGAGATCCAAATATTTTTAAGGTTCAAATTCGGCAGTTGTACGATTGATATTAATTCAAGCCACTTTTTTGGATTGTAAGGTAAGTACCGTACTAAGATTTTGAACTTTAAATTTTCGATATGTAGAATGAATAATACTCGCTGATCATTGGTAAATATGTTCTACATAACCGAATTAATCACCACCGTTATTTATTATTTATTATTATTTTGGATAAAAAAATAGTCTATAATAGTAAATTTATGCATTTTTTCTTTATCCATTTTATTTTTTTTGCATCGAATAAATAATGTAATAATTAGAATTCCAGATGTTTCGAGAATAAGAAATATTTTATTTTAATTAAAAAAAAAAACAACAGTTTAATGAGCAATATACATACACAGCCAATCACTTTGCATCAATTTACTAGTGTAAGTTGTCATCTTTATCATTCAAATTATTAATACCATCGCCATCTTCTTTCATTTATCATTATTATCAGTCATTGAACCATTTGGAATAACAGATTACTGAATAAAAATAAAATAACAAACGGTAATAAAAATTTGTCACAAAACAATATTTGTAATATTGCCATTATACTATATAATTGATAAAACATCATTTAATGCAACTGGTTCTCAATGAGATGGGTAATATATTAGAAGGGTTGCAACTAGTGTTGGTCGCCAAAACTATTTTGAAGAGACGAAAGTCAAAACTAAAATTAAAAGTTATATGTCAAAACTAAATCAAAAGTCAATAATCAAAAATCAAAACTAGTTTCGACTTATGGCGAAACCTTTTGACTTTCGCACGGTTGCGAAACTCTCTAGTTTTGGAAACCAACACTAGTTGCAACGAATGTAGAATTAATTATATAATAAATAAAAAACATATAAATGCAATAAAAAAATCATAATTAATTGTTGAAAAATATTTTAAAAAGTAAAAAATAATATTAATAAATTAATAAAATTCATGAAGTTAACATAAGGTCTTGAATACAAATAAGTTGACCCAATTTGCCTATATTCATAAAATTTTAATTTTTTAAAAAATGTCATAGGTTATTTTATATGTTGATTTAAACAAATGTTGCTTAGATACTATTCATTTTGTGACAAAAAACGCCCGCTAAACGCCAAAAATCTGCACCATTAGATGGTGTATCTGTTTGTTCATCTTGTAAAAATCGTTGAAATTCTTCTAGGAGATTTTCCCCATTATTTAAATTTGTAGTAATGTCGAATTGGGTAGATTGGAGTAGAGCATTAGTTTTATTGATGACGTTGTTGTTATAATTAATAGGAAGAGTATTGTAATCAGATGAAATCGGACGTGGAAGAAAAGAAGTGGAAGAATTAGAAGGTGATGAATTTGGTGGTGTTGAAACTGCACAATTGTTATTATTATTATTATCTTCTTGTTTTTGTAGTAGTTTTGACTGTTGATAAAACGAGCTTGTATTATGATTTGTGTGCAAAAAAGTAGAAGAGGAAGGAGAAGTATGTGATAATGAAACTGCATTATCGGCATTATTATTATTATCTATTTGTTTTTTCTGTGGCTCTGGTTGTTGATAAGACGAGCTTAGGTTATCATTTGTGCAAGGGAAAGAAGAGAAGGAAGAATGTGGAGAAGGTGATGATGAAATCGTACAATAGTTAACATTGGTTTCATAAGAATTTTCTTTTTGTGGTTCCGGTTGTTGTTGAGTAACAAAGATGAATTTTTTTGGTAGTTGATTTCCCAGAATGGCACTTTCATAAATTGATTTATGTTTTTCAAGGGCCAGCCTTGCTAATATGTTAAAGTAAGAAGTTACTTTGCCCGATTCCTTCTTCCAGGCATCTCCGGCTTCCTTTGAAATAATTTTCCAATTCTTTCTACACCCAAGAGATTTACGTTTTGCAGCATAATTTTTGCGGTATAAGAGAAAAGCGTTTTGAGATTTTGGGATATCTATAGAATTAACGTTATTAGGATTAGGCGAAATAAATCCAGTGATTTGCAAATAGAGTTGGCAAGGAGGATTGAAAAGAAGACGAGCTTCGTCATCGCAAAGTTGTGCTTTATTAACATATAATAATATTTCAGGATCCATGTACGTCATTTAAAATATATTATCTTTTATTGAAGATGGTATTATATTAAAGCTCCAAATAATCCAAGTGAACCCGAAACTTTTTCGAGTTTTAAATTTTTTTTTTTATTTACAAGCGGAAATTAATAAAAATTGCACAATTATAATAAATAGTGATTTTAGTAATGGCTCATGAATATATACTATTAAAAATTTCCTATATTTTACAAAAAATGTGAGTATGTTATTTGATGATTTAAATTCTTTGTCTTATAAATCTACTATTATACAGGACATGTTGCATAAATTAACTTGCTGATCAGTTATTTAGCAGTTATTAAACCAATCTGTAAGTTATTTAACAAAGTTTCTTTTTAATGATTTAAAGCTTTAGATTCGTTGTAGTTTGTTCATTTCAATATCACCTTGTTGAAGAAGTTTTAGACGTTAATTTACCATTTTCGCCAGTTTCTTCTTCTGTTACGATTTCATTACCTTCCACTCCATTATCAATCGAAATATATTCTTCTGCTGCTAATGGTGAAGAAAAAGGTAATACATTGATCAAAATTTTGATTTCATTATTTCGATTGATTGAAATATTTTCTATTATATAGGATCCTTCTATTTGCCATTGGATATTTTCCCAACAATTAAAAACGATTGGTTTTGGATCTACAGCCCTACAGTCAAACATTGGCACAGAGATGAATTAATTGTGGTTTTAATTAAAATAACAATCGGGCTTCTATTCATTCGTAATTAATTGATTTTCAGAAATGATCAGTATAATTTTGATTGGTTCCGACATGTCATTATAACAGGGTGTATAATAGTTTCACAACATTAGATTGGCTTTGGACTAATTAAATTCTTCTAGTTAATATTAATATAAAAGTCACCCTAAGTGATCAACCTGTTTCTGCCGCCACGTGTACAGCACTCTATGACAATAATTTTAAAAATTCTTTTTTATGACACAACATATCCCACTAGCATATTTTTTGACATTCCAACAACAATACTCTCTTGTTTAAAATACTTCCAAGCAATATTTCACTTCCTCGTCGTAAAATTAGGCCTTGAAGCGTGATATTTTTGAGAATTAACATTTAATGATGATGGATTTGGTTTGATGATGAGGACTATAAATATAGTAATAATCCATTAATTCTGAATTAATATCCGATTGCATATTTATTTTCAATAATTAATTAAGCTTATTTTTTCCCATTAAAAGAAATACGTAGCAACTTTAGAGTCTAGTGATGTTAGCCGGTAGAAAAACCTTAGCCGGCTAAGCCGGCTAAGAACTTGAATAAATTTTTTATCTAATAATT